TGGGTTGTTTTCGAGAGTAGTCAAAAAATTTCAATAAACGGTTAAAAAAATCGAAAATTTGACTTTTCCGAAGGTCATTAGTTTTGCCTGAAAAAAGCGGGCGTAACCGTCTATACATTGGAGCTACCCACCACAACCCGTTCTTCACTCAGAAATCAATATCTCAGATCTCGATTCGACTTTTCTGAGAATCATGACTTTTTGTGTAGAAGAATGGGGCGTAACCGCTTATGCAAGTGAAAATGCCATAACCCGTTCTACCCAATCAAACAAAAACCTCAGATTTGAGAGGGTTGTTTTCGAGAAAAGTCTTAAAGTTTTATAAAAGGTCAAAAAAATCCGAGCAGCATAACTTTTTGTGCAAAAAGACTTGGGCGTCACCGCTTATGCAGGGGAGCTTCCTACAACTTTTTCTATCCGTTGAACCTAAAATCCCTGATTTGGGAGGATAGTTTTCGAGAAAAGTTTAAAAGCTTCAAAAAACGGTTGAAAAATCGAAAATTTGACTTTTCTGAGGGCAAAAATTTTTTGCAGGGGAGCTTCCCACAACCTGTTTTATCCGTTGAACCCAAAATCTCAGATTTGGAGGGTATTTTTCGAGAAATTTTAATAAAAAAATCCAGAAAAAATTTTGGAGGCTGTAGAAAGTATAAAGAGTAAGGTTAAAAGAGACTAGGGGATTATGCAGGCACACAGGGGAGTGGGTGGAATTTCCATTGGTACCACTTTTTTGAAAATCGGTAGAGTCGTTTTCGAGAAAAAGTAAATTTTTGATAACAGTGAAAAATTTTTCCCAAGCGTCTAAAAAAAATTAGAAAAAAACCAAATCCCATAGATTTTTATAATACCTGTTTTAATTAAACAAGAATTTACCAACTAACATGCCTCAATTTATAGAGCGGACGCATTTTAACTAGTATACAAAAAAGTTCATAAAAACATTCGAACCTGCCCAGGTTCGAACCCTCTTATTTTGTTGCTGGTCTCCTTCACTACCTCTACGCTACAGATGCATGATACCTTAAAGCTAAAGTGCTATTTGCCATATAACAGTCTGTGTTAATATCCTTAGCATTCGCTGCACTTAATAGCTGGATCAAAATGAACACTTTCAAAACGAACACATTGTGTCGCAACAATATTTACGACTTACACTGGAAAAAAAAATAGTTCATACTATAACACAAGCTATGCTTGTGTAAATAGTTATGTAACAAGAACAATAGTCATGCAAACTTCATTTATGTAACGCAACGTTTCGGCTGGCTTATATAAACTGCATTTTCGGTTGGTTTATACCTATCTCGAACACCTTACCACTAAGTCACCAACTAGAAAAACCTCATTGACACGCGCTGAACAGGCAGCAATTAATGCTCCTTAAATAACCGAACGCAACTGATGCTGCTTGAAATATAAAACAGCAACAACTTTGGAAGCAGATAAAACAGCATGCCTTACGGCCGCTTTTGAAATTCCCTTTTGGTTTCTTATTTCTGAATCATCAAGCTAACAGTATTAATCTCAAAATTAAGAAACACTCTTTTCGGTTCTTTATCAATTCAAAAATTATCCATGAACAGTTATCCATGAACAGAATCACTGGGTTAAAACTGTTTTTCATCAACGACTTCGCCTTGAATTATTTAACATTTTCGGAAGCCCACTAAAATATTTATTACATCTAGTTAATTACACTTCACAGTTCATTACTAGCTTTTGTTGCTTTGCTGGTTGAACAATTTCTCAGCACTTCGTAAGCCAAGAATATCCAACGAGGAAGCAGAACACGGTCTGAATTTAATATCGCTTTCAAGTCTTTTCAAAAATCCATTTCTGGAGGCAAAACGCCACACGAGTGCTGTTCTACTGTCAAAATGATCGATTTCATCGACCCGCCATTAATCAGCGTACAGTGCCCGTGGAAGTCTTAAGCTCTTCTTCTCATATTAAGACGCTCGCTTCTCAATAACTATAAATCAATAAAACTCTTTTCATTTGCTTCAATAAAAATATTTCTCTTTTTCAAAGGCTCGCATATTTCTTGAATCAGTAAATCAACAGCTGATTAAAATTTAAAATAATTTTACGAGACAGGTTTTATGAAGTATAAACCGTCTTGCTTATGCTTTCCTTAAAATAAAACTCAAGTTTCATGGTTGATTCCTCTATTCTTTCAAGTTCCCTTTTATGCTTCGGTGAAATTTAAACTTTGATAAAACAAAGCCTTCTTAAATCAAAACTGGGCTTCAACCTACCAGAAATAGTGACAGAGTTAGATTTTGATACAAGTCCGAAGTCTTTGAAGACTGGCCGTAGTATCAGTTCGACCGTCTAACTGACGGTAAAATAAATTGTTATCAAATTAAAACCGGCAAGAGCGAAGTGTTCCTCAAAGCACTTTAGCGTAATAAATCTTAATACTTCAAAAAAATATGACGGCTTATTAAACGTCGCAGGGAGCTTCATAAACTCCATGAAAACGTCTGTCATCTGTCTGAACTCAGAATGAACTTTTAAAAGATTAACCATGAACTCGAACTACAGCAGTCTGAAATTGAAAATATAGCCAATCGAGATTGGAAAAGAGTAATGAACGCAAGTAAACATAAAAAAAACACTGACTTTGTTGAAAAAAAACTTTCGAATTTCAAAGAAAAAAATAGATGCCCTTTAAGCTTTTTGATTTTCTATAAAGATTTATGACTGGCGCTTTTTTGGTAACATTAACCCAACTTGAGAAAACTGGATCAACAGGTAAAGTTTTTAATCCGCTGAAAAACTTAAATTCCACTTTCGAAACTAGAAATCATTCACATTTTTTGCGCCATTTCCACGTTCATATTTGAAGAGTGCTATTTAAGTAAATTTCAGCAGATGAATTTCAATTGAACTCAAAAAGTGCAATAAATACCTAAGTGCATTTATAAATGCATCAATATGTATAAATGCACATCTGTAGTTATTAGAGACTTCTATGGACATTTTAGGACTTGAAAAAAACAAAAAAAATCACCAAGACCTATATAATAATCTTCACTACGTTAATTACCCTTAAAAACAAAGATGGTGAAAACAAACAGTACATTGATTACCCTTGAAAAACAAACAGTACGTTGATTAATCTTGAAAAACAAAGATGGTGAAAACAAACAGTAGTCAGAAATCGGAATCTAACTTTTCAGAAACCACTAATGCAAAAATTTAAAACTAAAGCAAATTAAGCTTATGTAAATATAGTAGCTTTCAATCTACTTCCGCCAATGAATTTTCAGTATTAAATCAAATGAAACCATGTTCAAATACGGGTTAATGACATTGTTCACATATTAATGTTCGGACACGAACTCATTTGGGTGTTTTCCTTTTTACTTTACTTTTTTTTCCAGCGAAATCAGTTACCACAAGATAATCATCGGAATTAGCCAATTGAGATTCGAATGACTTTAACAAATTTCAAAAACTTTTCCCACTGTCGAGAAAAACAGGATGAAATTTTTTAGTTTTACTCTAATTTCGAGCGAATAGGTCTCATTAAAACGTTTCAGGTAAGTAGTGAAAACCTTGTATTTATTTCAAGAAAACTAGTCTTGGAAGCTGCATTTAGCGCTTCCTGTGCAATAAAAAAATTATTTCAAAAAACTTTTCTACATATTTTTTCATTTATTTTATTCAGTTTTCCACGACAAAAATTGTCGAATATGCCTTATTTGTTGACAATCTATACAAAATATAGTTATATTATCAAACTACATACAAAAGAAAACGATACTTCCATGGAAACAAAGCTAACGGACAGGAGGAAAAGACTTAGAACGCACGTAAACAGAAAAAAAACTGACTTGAAAAAAAAACTGACTTCTTTTTTGGAAAAAATCTCAACTTTCAAACTTCAAAAAAAGTATATGGCCTTAATGCTAAGCATTATTTAAAAAATAAATGCCCTTAAGGCTAAGATTAAAAAAAACACTTTTTTTGATAAAATTAACCCAAAACACTGGATCAATAGGTAAATTTCAGGTTCCGATGGAAAATCTGAAAACTAAAATCCACTTTCGAAACTAGATTTTGATCACACTTTTCGTGACCTGTCCCCTTGTGCAATTCGAGAGTGCAGTTTGCTTTCCTTTTAACAAAGGAAATCAAGTGAGTTTAAAAAGAAACCTAAAATCAAAACGCGCGAAAAATCAAAATTGAGCGTTAACAAACTTCATCAATATCCAAACAAAAAACAAAAGCCATGAAGACCTAAAAAAAACTCTGAATCACGTTTATCGACTCCTAACAAAGACCAAACCAACAGAGAGTTGCAAGAAAACAAGGAAACCAAAAAAAAAGTTGATTAGGAAATTTTGAACATTTTTCAACTTTCGAACTTCCATGACAAAAAACGAAAATGAAGCTCATTGAAATTCAAACACTGTGTACGATCGGATCGGCCTTCAGATGGTAAAATAACCCCACAAAGATGATAACTTTTTCAAGTTTGCTGTTCGATAGTCGAGTTTGTCTTCATTTCAACAGAAAAATGAAATGAACTGAGAAAGAAATTAAAATTCAGACCGTAAAAAGACCGTTACTGATAGGCAAACCGTAAGTTTGCCTATCAGTAACTCTTCTGCTGGGAGTAAACTGCAATTTACGAGTTAGACAAGAACTCGAAACGATTTTTTCCACTTAGATATATCATGTAATGCCTCTTGATTCTTGATATTTGGTACATTGTTTAAAAATGACCACTATCGCAAAAATGTGATTAAACAATTTTCAGAAGGTCCACGCGAACTTTTGGTATAATGCTCTCCAAAAAAAGTGGGTATGAAACTAAAATTATTCAGAAAAGATATTACAAAAATCAAAGGTCTCATCTATTTAAAAAAATTACTGAAATCGTTCCTAGTCAAAAAGTTTCTCATGCATAATGTTGCAAAAAACGCATTATTCACATATTGCATAACTGTTTTTAAAATGAATGACTTTTCAAACTGATCGTGACTGACCTCTAAGTCTGAGAAGTTGCCAGTTGAGAATGAGAGAGTGTAGGAGAACTTCTCGTGGCCTCTATAGCTGAACTGGGATAGCTCAATGGCGTCACTCACTGCCACAGCGTCCCCTCCCCCTTTCTCCTCCTTCCACTGGAGAGACAAGTCTTCGGTGGTGTAGCCGTAGGCCTCGATGATCAGCGAACAGTCCTTAAAAAGAAAGTTCCCATTTTTCAAATTCCCATTCAGACAGGCTCAAATGGAATAAAAAGCGTAAGCATTTTTCTACCAGATCATTACCTGAAATAACACTTTGAATCAAAACTACAATTCTCAGTCCTCAATTCTGGACATTTATAAATTTTCCTTCAAACACAAAAATTCAATTTTCATTAAGTATCAGCTAAGATGCCAGACATTTCAATAATAAATAATTATCAACAGAAGAAAACAAAGCCGACAATCTTTACCAGACACAAATTGAGCAGAAAAAATATTGAACTAAAAAATTTAAGAAATATTCAAGTCCCCCTGAAACTACATTTAACTACACTTGCATTTGTAACCTCAATAAAGTTGCTTAGAGGACAAGAAAAATCCATTAAAATACAACTAAGCCGACAATCTTTGAGTAAACACAAATAGTGCCGAAAAAAAATATTAAAAATTCAAGTCCCCTGAAACTACATGAACAGCACTTGCACTTGCAAGCACGTTGCTTGCAGCAAAAAAAAAAATTCGTGACGTGGTAACCAAACCAAAAAAAAACTGGAGCAGACAAGCGAAAGTACGACAATTCAAATTTCACCGGGAAAAATTTGTCATAGGAACAAAATTTGGAAAGGACTTATATAATTCAACTTACAACATTCAACCGACCTACGTTCGTTTCATTTTTTGCAGTTAAGCCGATGCAAAATAGTTTCACTAAGCAGATAAAACAATAACAATAATCAAATAAACTGCTTACAGCTACAAAACATCCGAGGCTACAAAACATCCGGTTACAGCTACAAAACATCCGATTGAAAGGTTCTAATCTTCGAAAATAAGGCAACATCAATTTCTTACGTAAAGTTGTTCTTTTCTTACCTATAATGTGCAAGAAAAGTTGTTTACGGGAAAAAAAAGTCTAGTTTGTGTAATTAGGAACTAGTGTGTTCCTAGGTTACTGGTTAACAGCTTGGAGCAACGGATTACAATAGCAGGCCCCAAAAAACTTTACAAACCTATATAGATAAACACTCAAGGTTGCTTAAATTAACACGGTTTAAGCCGTTGTAACACGTACAAAGACGAGGCGGACCGTTGCACACTTGCAATTCATTACAACACAGCATGGTAGGCAGGTCAAAAAAATGTAAACAAAAACATGTTCGGAGCAAATAACGAATAACATTTTTTGCAAATCTATTAAAATTTTCGTACGATTGCCTCAAATTATATTCATTTTGACCAAAAAAACATGTAGACTAATAAAATTTCTAGCAGTAAATCAGCATATAAACAAAATTGATGAACTGGCTAGCCGAAAAAACTTGGGTAGAGATCTGTTGAGCCGAAAAATTCTGGAAAAAAAACTCTTTGAGCAACAAGCTAGTTCAATAGGAGTTCAATTTTCAAGATTCGCAACCCACAGCACACACACAATTGAAAAATATTGTTCGTCAAATGATACAACTTGAGGCAATAAAGACGATATACGATTAGCCGAAACAGTTAAAGCCGAATAAACTAAGCAACTATAAAAAAATAAAAAAAGGAAATTACAAAAGAGTTCGTTTACAACCAATATAAACACAAATTATGACACAGGCTAATCTACGAATACTTAACACAGGCGAAAGGCGAGAAAATAAGCAACAAAAGCTGGCGACCAGGAGATTACGATTTTGTCCTCATATTTATGCCATGCGCGCGTGAAAAAAATTAGCCACCAATGAAGCTTATCGAACACAACCTATAAAACTTCCAAAGTTAGCAAAAAAAACACCAAAGTGAGCACTATCTTAAGAGAGTAGAGTTTAAGAAGGAAATGTACAATTACACTATTCTCGCTAGATGGGGTAATTTTACTTATTCCGCCCAAATTTCTTAACTTTGCAATAGTCAATGTACAAATGCCGAGAACAAAACACTGATCGCACAGATTGAATAGGTTAAAACAAAAGCGATCACTTTATTCATTAACTGATTTCTAACACAGCGGAATTTTGAGCAGATGTGAAGGCGCTTTCTTCTGAAGCTATTTTCTGTTTTTTTTTCTCTGGCCTGTATCGACTCAAAATTGTGAACAAAACACTTTGAGATAACGCTGAAACTTGATTAGCTAATTCTAGCCAATCAAATTGAAGTAGAATAGTTTCAGTTCAAGATGTTGAAATTTTGATTTTTGGGTGGAGTTTGATTACCGAGTAACGGGCATAGACTCGAAACTTAAGACCTGGAGATCGATTCTCGCAATGAAACAAAAAAAGATTCTTGTAAGCTTCACTTATTCTCTGGTTCTACAAAAAGTGGTGTTATTCATTGTTTATGAGAAAAAATTGGGTTAAGATTAGACAAAAAAGTGAAGAGAACAAAAGTTGCTTAGAACTTTTCCAGAACTAATATGGTGCAATTTCTTTTTTAAAAGGGGTCATTTTGGCTTTTTGTGTTAATCGAGAATTACGCTGAAACCACCGAGCTAATTGATGCGAAAGTTAAATAAAAAAGCCTCTTACATAGCCCTACAAAGCTTTTCTTGAAGAAAAAAAATCATTAAGACCTATATAATAAAAAAAAATCACTATGTTCTTTTACACTTAAAAATTTACGAATTTCTGTGAGAAAAGTTAGCAATCTGACGTTCATGGGACATTCAATAGGAACTGCTATTTGATCAGTCTGTGAAATGTTTCAATCCCGATAACCTAGTTTATCGCTTTGTCCAATCCAAAAACTCCTCCCAGATTTACGTTTTTATCGATCGCTGAAATTACTTTAGTTTTACTACTGAGTAAACTTGCAAAATTTTAATTAACGCTTTGCAAATGCAACTTGCATCCTATTTCCACTTTCTAATTTCCCGGGTAGTCAAATTCCAATTTGCAGGTAAATCACAACTTGAAATTTCACAGCAGCACGTAGGCAGGCAAAGTGTTACTTTACTTGATAGACGAAAAGGAAGGTGGCTTGAATCAAAATCTGAGATTAAATTGACTGGCCAGTGACACTAATACCACTGGTCCATACTTTTCAATCCAGCCTAGTCAATCCCCCCAAATGCCAGTTCAGAAATGAACTCCTGCTCCTTGTCTAAATCTAGTCTTATGCCTGTGCGTGTACACCTACCCTCAAATGCCTGGCTGTCTTACTTAACTGTACTTAGTGCCAAATTGCCATCCTGCTTTCCATTTCATTATTGCAGTCGACCCAAATCCGTATATATGCATTATACACCTGTATAATGCACAGCGTGTGGGGGTAAGTGCGTTTGGGGCGGGGGGGGGGTAGTGTTCGTCCATAAATTTATTCCCACCCCTCACTTTGCTTGTATCCCATTTTAATTCCCCAAAAAGGGGAACAGCACGACCCAAGCCAGGGCAGAACAGCCGCAACTAAGACAAGAATCGAAACAGTTTAGGGGAATTTGCATGTGCATTAGGTAGATATATCTGTCACTTAAGTGTCAATTGTGACGTCGTGTTTCGAGCAGAGCGGAACCCCCTTAAAGGCTAGTAGATTTCAATCCAGTTCTACCCTGTGCTGTACTATTCGAAAGAGAGTAGTGTCAATTCTGAAGTGCCTGCCAATCGATATTGCTCTTTATAATACAGCACTTATGATCTAAATTCATGACTGCTTCAGCCAATCAATACTCCATTTAACTGAACAGAACGGATCAAATGATTCACACATGAATCAAGATCAAGCGGTCGCTTCTTTATAGAAAAAAAAAACAAAGTTACGAGGTACCAGCAAAAACAAAAAAAACAGTTCTATAACAGCTTCCACAATTTAATAAACTGTTTTTGTTATCAAATTTTAAATAAAATGATAAATTGATAAACCTGCTACAGCACACGGCTCGAAACTCGAATTCTGGCTATAGGAAAAATCAAGATTTGAAAGCGGTCAAAAAGAAAATTTCACTTCGCTTATTTCAAATACCGTTTGCCCTCATTACTATTCAAAATAACAATACATGATTGCGTAATAATTGATCTAATTCGGTTCCTGGAAAATTATGTTAATTGAGCTGTCCTAAGGGTAAAGGTGAGCAAGTATGTAGTGAGAGGAACCTAATCAAAGTGAATAGAATACACAACAGAACAGGCGAGCTATGCACTTCAGTCGAGTTAACACCTCCCCCCCCCCTCCACGCTAGCAGACCAAATAGAATTCTTTTCCACTTCTCTCAACAGATCATGATTTCAAAATTGATTTCTACTGGATATAAGCTGGACCCAGTTTAAAATCGTGCCTCAAAGCGGTTTAGGATGTAACATCGATCTTAAGTGGAACTATTACTATTATTCAATCAGAACCAAGTATACCATAAACAGCGCAAATCATCCTTTTGTCCAGGCTTCATAGTGGAATGGAATATCTTTATTGGGGTGAAAGGTCAAGGAATGTGGGGTTCAACTTGAAACTAAAATTATGTTTCATTGTCTTGGCTTTTAACGAGCTTCTTATCTCTATAGTTACCCATTCGAAGCTTCCCGTTTCTAAGGCCAAAGATCAGTTCCACAATTCAATGTAGAAATTTCCATTACACCAAATTAATCTCGGCGAAAAAGAAAACAAACATGAAAAAATTAGCTTGTTTCAGAAAACATTCGCAACAGCGTGAACGCAAACAGCCTCGAACTGTCTGCACCACAAGAACTAATTTCCGTTGATTCCAATTAGGATCTGTTAGCAAAAATGTACCCCAAGGTCTGCCTAAGTTGTTACATAAGACCACACACCACCGAATAACTATTTAATTGCCTGGTACGCCCTGCCCTACCTTCCTTACCGTCGAGATCTTGTGGGAGGATAACGGGAGTTTTTCTAGGTTCTCCCAACAAACACTAACTTCCCAGTTAAACCGGAGGTGGAGTTTAACTAATTTCTCCACTCGCCTAAAAACTAGGCCCCTGGAACGGGAATATTTCACCACATGCAAACCGCTCTCTTAAATGTACAATACAGAGAGGAGATGTCGACACAAGCAAGAATCGCTATCACCGGAGAAGGTGTTCCCCTTCTATGTCGGACCTGTCGATTCATAGTAACGATTTTGAAAGTGGAACAAGTTTCGGAGGTCGGTTTTTCGAATGGATAATTCGTTGAAGTAATTGCGGTCAACAGAAAATCATTATTTATGGCTCAAGTTCTTCTTGTTTAGATCAGTGCCATAGTAATCAAGATAAAAATGTATTGAATAGCAAACATATCAGAAACTTATCGGACCAGAAAATAGGTTATTGGATAAATCAACAACCCATTTACGGCGACATAAAAGAACCGATCAAAAACGCACGCACTGATGCAATCAAAAAGAACGGACACGTAATGTCAAAATACTAACGAATTCAAGATAACCAGCTCATAACATAGTGTAAATGGGCGCCTAAGATCCTTGTGAACAATTTTGGGGTTGGTCGACGAAAAATAGGCGTGCTGTTCAAACGTAGAACCGAATTAGGACAGCCGATTGCTGTGCAAGTAGCCACAGACTGTTCGGACTAGAGAAAGATTACTGAAGCATTTAAAAACAGTTCGACAAAAACCGAAAAAAGTGAATGATTTTTTTTCGTGAATATTCTGTTTTTTTTTCTACAGTAAAATAGGGCATAACTTTGTGTGAAAATTCATGTAATTTAGTCTGCAAAACATTTTTTTAAAATTTTTGGAATCCGATTCACGGCTGAAAAATAGCTCTAACCACAATGTCCCATTCAAGGATATAATATGCTACCATACTTGACCTTTTAAGAGCTTCCTTAGAAGTAACCAAATGCGCTGAAAAAGAACACATCCTAACCCATACATATTCTTCACATTGTGAAGAGGTTCGAACAGGAACAAGAACTACCTTTCAAGTTTCAATTAGATCTAACAAACGTAAACGCGGAGCTCCGTACTGTTTTATACACACCGCAATCGAAATGACAAAGTTCAGATAACTTGAAATGGATGTTTGTGATATCTCAACTGAATATCAAATCGAAATAAACCAAATGACAGTTGGAAAATGTCAGTGAGCTTTTCTAATTTTGAGTTTGAAATGGATAAACATATCACCTAAAGCTCTATGAATTTCAATAATTTCTATTCTATGGTTGACAATTTTTGTTTAAAATAACAATTATTGAGAAAAAAAATAACCCCCCATTCTGAGGGATTTTCGGATTCATTGGCAATTTCAGAAATTGAAACCCACTTCAATTACTCTTTCTTAAACAACAAGCGGAAATTGCCTTCCTTTAGCCGAATGAATTCAAATTTTAAAAAATAAGTCAAACCGCGAAAAACCAAATTTGAGCGCGATCAACTATTTAAGACAGCTTCCTGAGAAAAACTCATCAGGACCTAAAAAAGCGTCTTCACTGAGACTCACAAAACATAGCCAACGTTCACTACGTTCATTACTCTTAAAAGTGAACTGAGCAAAAAATATCCTACATGGTTTTGAAATCAGAACTTAGCCAACAGTTGGGAAAATGTCAATGAACGCAACGAAACCAAAAAAACTGACCTGTTTTGGGAAAAAAAATCAAAATATACTCCCTTGCAGATTTTCAAATTTCAAAAAGAATTTCTGATTGGCACTTTTTTGATATAATCAATGCAAATTGAGCAAAATGATCGATAGGTAAAATTTATATTTCGGTGAGAAAACTGAAAATTAAAATCCACTTTCGAAACTAGAAATTGTTCAGGTTTTTTTGCGACCTTGTCACAGTGCAGTTTGACAGTGGAGTGTGCTTTTCTTTTAACAAGCGAAACGAACTTAACTCCGAAAGAAATCAGAAGTCAAAATGCGAAGTATCAAATTTGAGCCTAAAACAAAAAAATCATCACTTATACAGAGTATTCACTACGTTCAACGATTCTTCATCAATGACCTTTGACACAATGACCATCATTAGCAGCGATTTTCTAGCTATCCTAGATCTTTTCGTTTTTGCAACAAAAAAATAAAGTTGTTTCTTTTAGGTTGTTCACTTCTCTCTTAGTTGTGGGGGGGACACAAATATGAGAGAAATGAACAACATAAATGAAAGAACTGTATTTTTTTTGCAAAAACAATTTTGCGCCCCCATACACAGTGAGCAAGAGGTACAACTAACCTGTGTGTCTAGAGGGAAGTTCTCGAGGTTCATGGGACACTTTCCGTGCACAGTCACTCGGGATGAGTAGAGCACTGTGCCGTCCGGGGAGAGGCGGAGGAGGATGTTGGGGACCATGACGTCATGCTTGTTTGCAGACAGAGACTCCGGGAAGTAGGTATCTACACATCACAAACAATATCTGTCACAATCAAAGAAACTCATGTGACGTTTATTCGTAATGATTGACTGACTATACGTGGAAAAAAAGAACCGGCAAGTACCATGAAAATATCAGCAAGTACCTTCAAAATAGTAAAAACATACGAATTATTAGAAACTTTTCGCGTGTTGCTAGGGTTCAATTTTAAAATTAAAAAAATTATGATATGTCGCTCTCTTTACTACTTCAAAAACCAGAGGTGATTGACAATAGATGTTATCCTAATATCGGAACCTTCAAATTCTAGTCACATATAAAAATAGATTTTTTTTAATGCAGCTTGAATCACTAAAGAAAGGTCCTCAATATGATAGCTCACTCGATCATGTCTGATATTTTTGTTATTTGATTTTTTACAGGGTTGACATAAAGGTGTCAGAAACTACACAATAACATTCATGACAGACGTTTTTAACGTTACAAATCGATAATTTAATCTTTTTTAAGTGACATTTTCCTCAAAAAAGCACGCTTTTATGCACTTCGAAAAACAATTTTGGCTTTTCGCATAAAATCATGATAGCATGCAAAATTTATATCGAAAAAACTGGAGCTAGGATATTCTATGATTTTATCGAGGGAGGATTTTCAAAACTAGGAAAAATTTATTTATTTTTTGTAAATGAATTTCTTCTATGAAAGAACCTTTTCTATTATAAGACATAGATTAAGACGCAAAAAGTTCAAACCGGTTCTCGCAACATTAAGAAAAGTTTTTGATTAAATGTTTAAAATGATATATCACTCGACCTATTCATTAGGTGCTTATTATGACTATTAAACCTGATTATTATCAAGTGGTACCAGATTTAGCCAGGAAAAAGAATTAAAATGTAACCAAATTTTTCTCCACGTTCTGTGGTCGGAAAAAAATTGTTTATTTGGGCGGCAATATTATGTAATCAGATGCTACAAACTCAATCATTTCATTTTCTTGAAATTAATTTTGGGTAACTTCTTTTTTGAATGTTTGGTTGACATTTAAAAAGTACTAATGCATCTGTTTTAATCAAACAGCGTCACTTTAGATATTTTATATTTTTTATCTATAGAAACCAATTATCTCTAAATGCAAGTCAATTCCAAAAATTAATTCAAGCGAAGCAGGTTGTTTTTAATCAGCCTAGATGAAACAATTAAAATCAACTTACTTTAAATCAAAATACTTCTTAATCATTATTTTCTTCTTTCAAAATTAATTATACAAATTACATCATATCATCGCGCTTCAACATCCGTTTTGGTTTTCAGAAGATAAAAAAAATTATAAAATGGATTGATCTGTAATTTATAGAGGAAGTTATAAATTGTAAAACTCAAAATCTCAATAGAAAACTGATTTAAAATTGCGAGGCGAAAAAATTGTTTCAGGTTCCAAAAAGACGAAGCAAAAAGACTACATTTTTTGGAACATATAACATGAATATATCAGATCTTTCGATAGGGGTAGAAAAAATAGATCTACTTAACAATCTCCACCCCTTTCAAGAAGGGGAGGGGGAGATTGTTCAGTATATCAAAATGGTCGACTTTTCGACCAATCAGAATGCAGCAAAATTAGAATTCTCAATAAAACTTACATAGGTACCATAGGGGGAGGGGGCGGGATTGTTAAGCAGATCCGAAAAAAATTTACGAATCCAAAATCAGGAAAGCACTTGAAACAATAAAAAAACTGAAAGACGCCAATAACTATAAAAACTAACTCCAACCATTAAACGCTATTGCTGTTTTAAATTATCATTAAGGTATGGAAAAAACTGCATTTTAAGTCATTTGGGCTGTTCAACTCCAACTCAGCTATGTGCTCTCGCAACCACGTTTACGCAAATACAGACTCCGAAAAAACTTCACTGAAATTTGCTAGCATAAACTATGCTTCTGGTCTTGCAATCTCTCATTTGCTTTTTTGATAAAACTTAGGAACTGTTCGACAAAAACTTTACTACTCAAAAGTAAAAGTAACAAGTGGGATTTACCTGGCAGCCATATCTTCCCGAGGAACTCGTGTGATAATGTGATGTCATTGTTCATTGTGGTCTCAAACGTGAGCCTCTCATCTCGCCAGTACTGTCGGAATGCAAAGTCCACACGGAACGACATTTCCGTCTCCGAAATTGGACCAAGACTGTCGACATGCAACGTCACATTCACGAACACTGGCGGACCCCCAAAAGAAGGTCGCAATCTATTGTCGTAGTCTTGCAACAGGTTATCCAGAACCCTGGAAGTTTCCATCATGAACTCTTTTCTATCCTTTTCCACCTGATAAACACTAGCCGGGTCACTTTCGCCATCCAAATCACCATTTAAGTCACTGCTCCACCCAGGAGAGCTGTAGTCAAACGTGTCTGACGAGAGGCTGCTACGCGTGTGTCGTCGCCTAGCAGCCGAATAGCTAATTGGCCGATTCGATTCACGATTCGTCCTTCGATTGGTACCATTTGAGTGATATGGGTAAACATGGCAATCTAGAAGCCACGAGCATAAAAATTGAGACAAGAAAGTAAGTCGAATAAAACAGAAAAAAGTATGCATGACGCCTTGTGGTTGTAGAAGCAATTTTCAAACTTCATGGAATTTGATTGATCGTACTCATTATTGTTGATGAAAAGATTGCTCCATAGTTATCCATTGCGTTTCGCTGTTGGACCTTTGCTCTAAATAAAGTTACATAAGTAGATTGTGATTTTCAACCAACATAATGTAACATATTCACTTAGCACACAAACTTCCTCGGTTAACAAAAAAGAGCAGCCAAAAGCAAAAGTTTAGCATACTGCTCTTTTAAAAAAATTCGGACCATTGTTAAAATACAAGGCGGCGCTTAGTGTCAGTAAATGTCTTCTTGGTGCTACAAAATTACGGCAGCAGCCAAAAACAAACTTAAAAATTTGTGAATGCTTCGTAGTTATTTATGTTGTGGCGTTTTAGAGCCTGAAGGCACGAGCTAAACACGCAAAACAACGGAGCCCAAAAACAAGGAAGATTAAAGTTATCAATCTCGGCTGCAATAAACTCGTAGATAAATCTCACTCGAGGCATTATTACCCAATTTTAGGAGCCCAAATATTTTGGGTCAAGTATAAAAATGACTAAAGTATAAATACACAAGGATGTTCCGCTTACAGCGCAAAAATTTACAATCATTTTATTGTAATTTATATGCTATTAGCAAAATATTTTTAATGTTTATTAACGTTAAAAAAATCAATATGTAATTCGTTGACATTTAAAGGTCAACTCAATTTATTTGTGAACTTTATAAAAATTAATTTTATAATAAAAATAACTTAATTTTTCGGAAAGAAAATAGCTAACCTGTTTAACGTTCTAATCGATTCAGTCCATTTTAAATTACCCATCAGCGCAATTTTTCAGAGAAGGAAAGAAAAGCAGCTAACGATATTTTCAGGTGAAACAAACAAAAAGGAAAATAAGCTTAAAATCAAGAGGCAGGCTGAAACCATCTCATTGAAGGAAAGAACTCAGCAGTTATAGCTCCTTTCGATTTCTGTCAGAAGACTTTCGAAGGGAATGCAAAAAACAATAGGAAGCGCAGTTAAATTAGAGCAGGCTTATAAAGAAGGAATAGACGCGCAGCGGGATTATTATCAATGAGCTGCTTTTAGTTCCGGTAGCTAGCAGTCTATTACATGATTGGTCCATTTACTACCTGCAAGTTACCAACTGACACCAACAGTACTATTCTATATATGGCCACCACCACTACAACTTACAAGACAACCATCTCAAGAAAGCGAGCAGAGCGACCTGTGCTAAATATTTACCACAGTCGCAAGTATTCACAACAAAATAATTGCTATTATTCATAAAACTACCGCCTCTAATTCCCTTCTATTCGGTTAAATGAATATTCATGCGATCAATGAAAATCCACTTATTGTTCTCAGTTCACAAAAGCCCCCTTTTCATTTAAATTGCAGTCAAAAATCCGTTCAGGAAATAAGATTAAGCTTCAGGAGGCGATGAACACCGGATCTGTCAACATTTTAAATCGGCTCAGCTAGGCATTTATTTCAAAATCATTTCAGGAAAACGTTAAATTGACAGGTTTCCGAGCCAATTCATATTGATTGGCAATCTTTGATATTTTATGAATCTCTTATCGCTCGAAAAATGTGCTTTGAAATATGGAAATGCTATTGAATTGTTTTGCTAAACAAATAGCAGGTCAGAGTGTCAAAATCACGGATTTTTATTCCAAACTCTCCGATCAAAAAAATGCACCTGAAATGAATGAAAGTAGCTTCAGATAACTTTTGATTTGCAAGTAGCGTATGGAACATCTCAGCGCAAATCGAATCTCAGCGCACAGACATCCAAGTAATCAAGACGACTACCCCACAAAACTGTGCCATTGACGCTTACATACACCACAAACTGGTCAATACGAATTTAGAGAAAACATGCTATTAAACTGCCAATACTACGCGAAAAAGGCCAACTCAGTGAGCACTGTTATTTGCGAGTTGGGTTGGAAAAAAATGAATTTTGTAATGAGAAACGAAGCTCGCTAGCTGGCTAGTGTACCAAGAGGTAGTTTTCTTTATAATTTTGACATTTTTGTTCCGACTTTCGAAGAAAACGGAAAATTTATGGGAGTTGTTTTTAGTTAGCATTTACACTTACTTGTTAACTTCTGTGTAAATGCTAATAAGTACTTCTGAGATAATAATTCGATTTTTAAAATAAGGTACAGTCAGTTCAGGTGACGCTATATGTAAATCGGCTCGTCATGCAAGCCAATCCACTATAAGAACAAAAAAATGACGCCAAAAAACAGCCTATTGAAAAAACTATTATGAACTCGACAAAACCATACAATAGACTTTCTGAACAATTTGAATTGAAGAATTGAGATTTAAAAAATATTCCACAAAAAAGTTCAAAGTTCAAGAACAATTCACTAATGAATTTACCAACTTCGATAGAATAATTCAATTGGAGAAAACTGCGTCAACAAGCAATTACTTATTTTACTAGGATTAAACATGATAATGAAAATGCACATTACAAACTAAAAGCCGTTCACGTTTTCTCGCTCAGATTATAATTTTAAATAGGGGAGCGCAGCTAATCTTTCACTTAATGAACGTGAAGCGAATTTAAAAAACCATAACTAAAATACCAAAACAACCATTTGAGAGCGATTGAATTTTTAAAGACACTCTCCTAAACAAAATGCCAAACGAAGAATTTTGTGAATTTTAAGACACTATCCTAAACAACATGTCAAACGGAGAAAATTCCAAGCGGTTAATAAGCCAACAACCCTTAGGCAAAAACTAAACAAACCGAAAAATAGATTTTAGGAAATTAAGTATACAGGAAATAATTCCAGTAATCTATTTGATATAAGTTGCTCATCACAAGTTTGCAAAGAGGCGAGCAAAGCTTTAAACCAATTGAGATACAAAAAAATCTTGGTGTTCAGGTGTAAGAAATAACTATGAAAAAACAGGACCTTAATTCATACTGTACAAAAACTAAAACAATTTAAAGCGTGACCACAATCCATCCATTCTCTAACACACTTATTATGAAACCTCAATTGACAAACTTAAACGCGACAAACCATTGGTAAGGGAAGATAATCAAGATTTTTTCATATTTATGCAATCACGAAGAAACTAGGTCTCACAACTTACATAGAGACGAAGCTTCGCTTCTCAAACACTAGCGAGAACACAACAAGTGCAAAAAAGTAGCAACAAGAATCGAAATAGAAAAGTTCAACTACGTCTCGGATTCGATCTGTGACCAAGAGATTATGAGTCTCACGCACTAACCACTCAACCAAACACGATTATTAAATCTCACACACACTAGCAACAAATAAAGCATAAAACAGATGAAATGTCCACTGCTACATCGTGATTATAGCAAAGTACCACCAAAAATAAATGAAAATTTTAATGAATACTTTTACTTACGAGTTAGGCTAGAAGAAATTAAGCTATCTAGTGTATCATACGACACGCCCTTTATAGTTTTTGGGTTCGAGAAAAAATTATCATAGGTGAATAAAAACAAGAACTTCAGCGGAAATTCTTGGAACTCAAATACCTGTACAAGGCAGAGATACCAAAAAAATCAGCTCAGTTTTAAAAACTCAAATCGCAAGAAATTTCCGTCCGGTAACAATTAAGCCTGCAAAAATAAGATTACAATAATCCAACGATTAATTTTTAGAGCATACACTTTCAGCTTGCAAAAAGTATCAAATCCTGACTGGACTCGATCAGACTTTTGTCTTTCTAAGGTAAGCCAGCTCTGCTCAAAACTGAAAAATCAGACCGTGAAGATAATTTTCGAAAAATAACATTCATTTTTCCAGTTTGCTGCCCTAAATAATTGATCCAATGACGTTTATAGAAGCCAAAGAAAAGCAGCAAAAGCGAGCTTCGCTTTTCACAAAAACTCAAACTTTGCGTTTAATTATTTGAATGTAATAAGCTAAAGGCAACCACACTATTTTACATGTAATTAATTGGAAAGCATAAAGCCAAATTCAGCATAAAATATGCATTTCAAAAACCCTTGCAAAATTAATTAAGTAAGAAATTTTCTGAAATCGAATTTTAATTAATATACTGTTAGATGGAACAAACAACTTTTTTCCGTTCGTTTGATGAACTAAAACAGCACAACTGTGTTTAGCTATAAGTAATCAAATGTCAAAGCACATGGCATTATACTGCCAATGCTGCCTCATGCTTTATATATGCCCCAAAAGTGGCACTTTCACATCGGCAAAAGTGGTAACGAAAGAAACTATTATTTGCGAATTAGGTTGGAAAAAAAGTTGCACCGTACAACCACACTACGTTCTGCATATGTAAGAAGCTATCAATAGGAAAAAACTTTTCAGCCCAAAAAATCATATTTAAAGTTTTTTTGGTGGGAGAAGGAGGTACCGGTAATTTCAGCTTCCAGAAAACTAATTAACACCTCAAGAAGATAAACAATCGTTGAAACTTAGATATATTGGGAGTGGTTTTCTCAAGTATTTTCCACTCATTTTCCGGTAAAAAAACTCCAGTTCTCTTCACACTGAGACATTTTTTTGGGATTTTGAGTCTCGACCAACAGTTCAATATGATATGTTTCAATGTGATAGCACACTTGACTCCGAAAAGAATTCTTTGAGGTACTTAAAATCGGGTGAAATACTACCGTACACCCTTGTTCCTTCCATCCCCTTCGCAAAAAAAATAACTGCATTTGCAGAAAGCCAAGTGCTTACAAGCCACTCGTTAATAACAGCGCAACTATTGATGAGCTCGAGCTCCAAATTGCCCTATTTTGAAGATCGCAACAAAAATATGGATCCGCAATTTCGTTTAACTTTTATAAAAAAAAAAGTAAGTTCAACTTCAAAAGTGCGAGAAAGAAATTTTTAAGTGGCTGTGAAAGGACGCAGATGCTGACTGTCAAATCGAAATTTCTTACTCGAGCAAAATCAAATTTTCTCGGTTTAAAAAATTAGAGTATGACTTTAAATAATATAGCTTACCGTTGGTGCTCTGCTTTGTATTTAGGAGATAAATATAAGAATGTGATATAATCTCCAAGCCAGAAAATTATATGTTCACTGAGCAAGCGCAAAGGCAAAATTATGAAGACTTTGAGTGCGATAGCTGTGAAACCAAATTTGGCATTTTCAGTTGAATAGCATTCTTTGGTTTTGTTCAATTTTCCTACGAAGGACCAATGTCTAGGTACTAACAGTTACTAAGTTGTTTAATATTGGGGCTCTAGTGCTTATCAAAATCTTGACGTGACGTGGTTTTAAGATAGCAATCAAGGGGAAACCAGCTGTTATATTTTCAAACTAATATTAGAGATTATCAACTTCAGCACATATTAGTTCTTGATTGCTGCGGCCCAGTTTTCTATACCAAACTTACTTGATTTGGGCCGGGTGAATTTGGTCTTAATAAAATGGGAGGGGAAATTTGACACCCTGAAAGAATATCGCAAAAAGCCTGTACTCCGGTATAATTTGGAATTGGATTTTGCGATTCTGGAGGCCGACGCTGAGAAGATATATGGTCATAATTGAATAAAAAGATATCCAAGTACATCCACACGTACAAGCAAGTAAAATCAGTCGGCGGGCGGGCGCGCGGCTGAAGAAGAAATGAATTGTCTTGTTCTTGTTCTACATGGAAAAAACACTGCTTGGCGCGACAAAGGTTAAGTGAGAATGAAAGAAGAATCAATCGTGCTAGTTGCAGATAGGCAGCAGGACAAAGAACAGCACAGAAATGTATTTGAACTAATCTCCAGCGGGACAAAGGAGGACAACGCCAGAGGGAAGCACACGAACAAAACACATACCCGGCCCACAAAGCTTATCTCAGGAATATTACTCCTTCTGAATTAACTTTCCATCCCACGACAAAGTGTATCTATTAAAGGAAAGCTGTTCAATTTAAAGCTTCTTTCTCAGGGCAATCTGTAATTTTTAGTCTCAGTAGCCCAGTGACCAGGGCAGCCAGGCTGCATACAAAAGAGAGATAACAGCCCTGTCAAGATATCACTCGTTTGCTTCAATTCAATTTAATATTCAAATTCGCGCTCAATTCACTCTGCCCCACTTCCTAAAGTGAAGAAGAGTTATCGCCTAAATTATCAGCATTTAATATTTTTAGTGCCGGCTTAGGCCTTCTCATTCCACTCACTTACCACGTCTCATCCCATTTCCGAGATTTAGAAGAAAGACTCGGATATATTTTTCACGTACAGGAAGGCATTTTTGGAAGCTAGTGCAAATGAAGCAAATGAAACAAGAGTACTACTTTCATGTGCAAACTAAGTTGTTAACGGGAAAAAAAAACTATTACATGTTTGCAAAGTCGAAAAAAATGTCAACAACCAACACCAGCTTTAAATAACCATTCAAAAAACCATTTCCTAGTGACAACTAATCCGACAGTACTAGAGTAAAAGCCCATAGAGACGAACATAAATTTGTTGCCATGAAAACTTTTAGACAAACTACAAGATACAAAAAACTTTCCCATTAACACCACTCAATATTTAGTGACTAAGACGCTATAACATAACCCAAAACCACAACAGCCGAACAAAGCTATTGAAAAAGCGAAAAAGAAATAAAAGTAAATCCAGGTTTGTGAAATTACAAACACAGAACTAACACCAAATTATTTTCAATTATAGTGAAAATTACTTCAATTGCAAGAAAAATCCATGCTGTGAAAACTAATACCGAAAAAATATAATAAGACAAGCAATAAGCCGACAAATTTTTCAAAGAGAACATTTTCTGTTTGGTTTGCAAATAAACAACAGGCCCTACTAGCTTCAACCCCTGATTCTTTGTCTTACTAGGCAGAGACGTCACCACTAAAAAGCCAAGCGCGCAAAAGACGCACTTGGCTTGGTAAAAACATTTCCGAGGGGCAACTAATCTGACACTACTTGAGTAAATGCCCCGTTGAGCAGAAAAAAGTTGCCATGAGAACTTTGAGACGCACTACAAAATACAAAAGAATTTTCCCATTAATACCACTCAATGTTTATTGACTAAGACGAAAGGTACTTCAGTCGCAATAAAAATTAGACAAGCGATAAGTTTTTTTCTAACAGAAAATTTTCTGTTTGCAAATAAAAACAGGCCCTGGCTAGCTTCAACTCCTGATTCTTTGTCATCCTAGACAAAGACGTCACAACTAAAAAGCCAGGAACGCAAAAGACGAGAATTTAGTTAAAAAAATAAAGTCGAGTTTGGAAAAAAACTGCTATAACTGACTTGGTTAGACAAATTTAAACGTGGAAAAAAGCCCAATGTTTAGAATTGATAACTCTTCCGCCGCGAACGCTTCAAAAAGATACGATTTAGTTTGCTTTGTAAAACATTAGACGAAGTTAAGATGACATTTTACCCAACGCTAAAATGCCTTAAAACACGCAACTTTTTTCTTTTAATGTTCCAGCTGCTCTTTCTTGACTGCGCACTAAGCCTAAACTCAACTTATCAAGATAAACCAGGAAAAAAATTAAATGACTCTTTTCGTAAATAATTTGCAGTTTTTATTTCTAACATAGGAAAAATAGGCTTAAATCACTTATTATTACAAAAACGATAACACCACTTGCGATACAACAAAAAAATATCAATTCAAGATAGCAGACAGTAAAGAAAAACAATTTAAAATTGCCTGAAATGATGAGCTATTTTTGGACAAAATTCTCAGTAATTTTGACCGCGGCGTTTGAAAAACCAAATACTAATCAAGCGGCAACTGGGCCGAAAAACTTGCGATGCAATAGATTGTGATTTTACAAAAAAACAACGCAACCAACTGAGCACTATGATTTGAGGGTTAGGTTAGAAAGTAAGTACATTATACTAAGAAATTATGCTCGCTAGTGCAAATGAAGCAAAAGTAAGATTTTCATGTGCAAACTCTTTAAACAAAGTTGTTTACGGGAAAAAACTATTACATGTTTGCAAAGTCGAGAAAAAAAATGTCAACAACCAACACCAGCTTTAAATAACCATTCAAAAATCATTTCCGAGTGACAACTAATCCGACAGTACTAGAGTAAAAGCCCATTGAGACGCACTACAAAATACAAAAAAAATTTCCCATTAACACCACTCAATATTCAGTGACTAAGACGCTATAACATAACCCAAAACCACAACAGCCGAAAAAAAGCTATTGAAAAAGCGAAAAAGAACTAAAAGTAAATCAGGGTTGGTGAAATTACAAAACGCAGGTTTAACTCCAAATTATTTCAATAATAGTGAATGTCACAAGAAAAGTCAATGCTGTGGAAACTTATCTCAACACAGAGGCAAAGCGGAGCAATCACATTTTTCATGACCTTTATACTTTTTCTATTCGATAGTCGAGTTTTCCTTCCTTCTAACAAAGAAAATGAGGTGAACTTAAACAATACCCTTGCTTATCGCAAGGGTAAAAAAAATCAAAATTCAAACCGCGAAAAATCAAAATTGAGTGAAAATACACAGAGGCGAAGAGTCGCTTCGCAAACACTAGCCAGTTGTCTAAAAAAACTTTGATAATGTTTTAGCACGCTAGACCGCTCTGAAATTCTTTTCCATAGGCACAACCGTCCTCTTGTCTTTCTGCCTTTTGAAGTTTGCATTTAGGCGTCACATTCGTTTTTTTTTTCAAAAGAGGCAACGGAGTTCAACAGAGGGACCTGTTAGGGCCTCTCATTAATGCTGTCATCTTGAACGCCATTGTCAAATTTCTCCAGTCGGAAATCCCAGGTCTCACACTCAACTGCTGGTACCCTGATGATGCTATTTGTGTCGGCGATGAAGATTCTTTGCTCAAGGCCCTCGAAGCTGACGGGCCATCAACTGGCAATTACCTCGCTACTCCCAAGCTGACGTACTCTCTTTGCATTCTGCCGCCTTGTCAGCCTGTCGCAGCTTCCCTTCATGTATTTGATGAACTCCCTTGCGATGCCTTTTCCGCCCTAATTGTTCCTGATCTAGCCTTTTCCCATTCTTTCCTTCCAATCAAGGATGCTGGGCTTGGCCAACACATCCTTGTTTTTCAACACAACCCTTTTTTCCTTGGTTCATCGTGTCAGTCAGATAACTTACTCTCGTTTGCCACAAAATGCAACTTCGCCGATACACCGCAGTTCCTCTGTGCCTTTAATGATTCCCGTTAACATTCCGGAAGCGCGAATCTTTCCGCTTTTCCTAAAGAACCTTCCGATGAAAAACTCGATAAGGACACATTCCCGTGAACAAGATCAGTTTTAGCCGCTCTCTCTGCCCTAAGCCGGTGTTTGGATTACAGCTGTCCCCATTAATGGTGTGGATTTGCACCTGCTTCCAGCTGAGTTTCAAGCTGCCGTCAGATATCGCCTTGGCCTCCGTTTTCGCGTCTCATAGTAGGTTCCCAGAGTCACTTTTTAGCATTCCTAGGGACGTCCCTGTGGAACAAAATGCCGCTTGCGGTGGGAATGGCTGTCAGATCTCCCGTCACGACAAACAAAGGGACATTATTTTCAACGCTACCTCAGTCGCCTCCTTAGCTCCCATCAACGAGCAAAGGAATTTTATTCCCAGTGGTCCCATCCCGGCACAATTTTCTTTCCTACTTGGAGTGCTGGCCTCTCAGTTGTTTTTGACGTCACCATGACATACCCGCTTCATTTATCTTTTCTCTCAAGTGATTTTTTTCCGACTAAGTTTTTTTGTCTTGATAGATTACTAGAATATTTTTTCAAATAAACAATTTTGTTGTGATTTTGTTGAAGCTACACGTCGCTCTGATACCAACGAATTTACATATTTCAGAATTTTATTTACGATTCACGATTGAAAAATGTTTGAAAATTTTCCTGCAAAGCACAACTATTGGCGGCATTTTATAAAAAATCCAAAAATCTATAGCTCAGTTAACCTCAAATAACTAACCTTCGGTTTAGGCTTCCGGTTAAAAAGTTGTTTAAAAGTCCGTTGATATGACCCAAATTTAAGTCATTAAGGCGATCAAATATAAGCCGAAATCATTTGGGTAGAAAGAGTTTTCTAGCACGATAACAAAAAGAAAAAAAAACATATACTCAAGGATATTAAAATGTCAAAGAGCAGAAGTGACAATGTAATGCAAAAAAATTAGTCGTCAGATGTGGCAAATAAGCCGACAAAACAATTGAGTTTATGACGAACTGAATCCAAACCAAGCGTTTCTAAATTTGAGCACACAATGACGAAAATATTTTACCCGAAAAAGTCTACAATTCGATTGCAACACCTTTGACAGAAACGTCTTAAATTTAATCCCAACTTCGCTGATTAAAAAAGAAAAAATCATCCTTAAGAATCAACTAAAACATTGATTTTATTTATTCTTTTTTCTATACTCTGACTAAATTTTTCAGTAGAAAGCGGCTGATCTAAAAAAAAACGCAACAAAAACGGGAGAACTTTCGTAGTAAAATTAGGTTTAAAATTTTTAGGGCGCTCTGTCTCACAATTTAGAACATTTTTTCTCGACATTGCCAAAAAAAATTTGAATTTTTTTTATTTCAAATAAAAACTTACGGTACTTTCTTTGGTGAAGTCAAAATTAGCGGAGAAAAACTTTGCCTAACAGTGTTCTCTAGCAATCCCTCAGATCCTGTTGCAGCCGCAACAAAACGCAGAGCTGTGTTTTTTGAGCTATTCGCTTTGTAAATTGAGTGCGCCTTTTCCCTAGTTTGCCCTCCGGTGCGTCAAACACACCTACACGAGAAATGATTATAAAAAAATATGCGATAAAACGACAGGAGTGCAGCCGTAAGAATATGTGCCAGTTGGTCTTATTAAAGAAATGTTCG